TTGCTGAGGAATGCTGGAGAGCAGAGATTAAGCTCAGAGTGTGTTTTCCCAGCGGATTCAGCCCAGGGCTGTGCCCAGAGGGTCACTTCACCCCTGCTGCGGCCAGCCTTCATCACAGCCCCCTTCAGGGTGAGCAGGGCTGCCTCAGCACCTCTCCTTCCCCATGGCCTGGGCTCCTGCCATGGCCAGCACTGCCAAGCAGGTGCCAAGGCCCAGGAGTTTCCCCCCGTTCCACAGTGCCCTGAAATCACAAAACCTCAGTGGGGCAGGCCTAGAGCAGCCCTGGGACTCGGACAGGATTGTAACCCAGGGTGGGGACCTGATCTTTTCTTTCTCACTAAAGACAAGTGCCATTGTCTGCTGGAGCATCTCTGGATCCCACTCGTCAGCACATCCAGAGGGGTCAGCTGAACCCACTGTCCCTGTGTTTGGAAATAGGCAAGAAGAAAAATAATTGTCATTCCATCAAAGTGATGGTAGGCAAACATAGCCCAGTTTGCAAAATCAGTCATAATTTAACTTATGCTACAGATTTCTGGTGTAATTATGCTAGGGTTGTCTTCCCACCCATGAAGTGCTGGCAGTATATATTTATTTCAGCTAAAACCCTGACCTGATGCAGTCACAGCAGTGAAACAGTTTTTCTGGTGGAATCCATAATACATTCAGGGGAGCAGAATGAAAACCTTGCAGCTTTGGCTAACTTATTTTTTAAACAGCTGGTGATTAGCTGGAATCACAGCTCCTTCCTAGAGTCCAGAGAAGGTCTCTGAAGACCCTAAATGTTCATATACTGAATCTCTGCTGATTTTGGTCCTGTGCAGTGAAAGCTGAGTTTCAGCAGAGTGATGCAGAGCCAGCACAGCCACCTTTGTTTGGCTGTCATGAAGTGAATTTTATAAAACCATGATATAAAAGACAAATTCTGGGTGGCAACTCTGCAATAAACTCATGTGTTCTGCTGTGCACAAATCCACCAGGGAGTCTCCTGACAGGCACAAATCTGAGCCCCAGATTTTAGCAGGAAGGCTCCAGTCCCTCCAGTGAACTGTTGAGCTTCCCAGATACTGAATTAAGCCACATTATGTTGTGATAATACAAAATGAGATTAACTCTGGATCCCAGAACTGGAAGATAAAATGGCTCTCTTGTCTTTCCAAGTGAAGTGGGTGTGATATTTGTGAGTGAAATGATGTATAAATTAACAGGGCCTGAAAGCAGAAAGTTTGCACCAGGCAGTGGAAGGCAAATTGTCCTGAGCACATTTCCACAGCCACAGAGCCTCAGAAGCTGTGAGCAGTGATGTGTGGCAGTGACTGTGTTTGCTCTCTGTAGGGACAGTCCTTGGCTCCAGCCCAGCTCTGGTGGGTGCCCTGGTGAGCTCTGGAGCCCTCCAGACAAACAGCTGGGGAAGCAGGAGCTGCTGCAGTCTGTGCAGAAACACAGCCAGGAGAAAGTGTCTCCTACCCACTGCCCATTCCCAGCTGGAACACTACAAACTCTAGGGGAACATGAATTCTTTCCTCTAGCAGGGGTTTAGCCAGTGGACCTCTCAGAGATGCTAACACAAAAACATGGCCACTAATTTAAAGCACAAAACATGAGCAGAAATGTTTTGCAAGTCGGTGAGTCATATTTTCCTCATAAAATTGTTGAAACCATTGTGCCCAGAAACAATTAAAGATGTGAGTAGGGCTGGAAAAGTTTAGCCATAAACACAAACAGACAGCATTATTTTGTTTGTAGAAGGTGGAGGTGGTTTGGCTCGAGGAGCATCCTCAGCCTCAGCGAGAGGGAGCAGAAGGTGCAGTTTGTGTGTCCTGGCTGCTCAGAGGAGCCCCAGCCCACCTGGACACTTGGTCACACCAGGGCTCAAACACCAAAATCTCTCATGGCAGATGGACCCCTGGAGCAGAGCCAAACAAACCTACTCATTTCATCTAAAAAAAATTGTGTCTTGACTTAAGGATGCACTTCTGAGGCCTGAGGTCTCAAGTGGACAAATCACCTGAATTAAAGCATCACAGCCAGCGAGTCCCTGGCAAAGGGGAGCTCTGCCCAAGACCCACAAGCTTTAAAAGACTCCGTGGTTTTCCCAGCAGTTTGGTGTTCCAGTTGCCCCTGGCAATAGACTCCTTTATTTTGTCCTGCTCTTTTTGTGCTCTGCCTGTGCAGCCCTGCTGAATTCACACTCCTGCTCTGGGGAGCAGCAAAAGGGGGGAAGCTCCTGTGCTCCCCAGGGCATAATCCCTGGTTTGGTGAGAGCTGGACACACTGGCCTGCACAGCAGAGCTCACAGGTTGGAAGGCAGATTTGAGCTTTGTCAGGGTCTTTATCTGATTTATTTCTACCCTAAAGGGAGGGTAGAATTTGAGATGTGTCAGGATACTTTCTCTCAGGGTCACTTGTGTAACTCAGCACTTTTATAGAGACACTCCAGCTAGCAAACCCTCTGTTTAAACAACTGCATTTATAAGTCTTTCTTACAAATAAAATGTTTTATTGACATCCAACTTATGTTCTTCTGCTCAGGAGTGTGAAATGAGCCATAAGGTTTCTGGGTCACAACAAAAAATCCATATGCAGGGTGTATCGAGAGGCATTGACTTTGTTGGCATTATTTTGAAGCAATAAGCCCTTGAATGGTGTTTTATTTCAATTCTCTTCATTCTTAGGGAGCTGGGAAGATGTGCCTGTGAGTTGCTTTAGAGAGGAGCAGTGCATTAGAGCAGGGCAGGGTCAGTGGCCTTGGGTTCAGAGTTTGGGCAGCAGCAAAAAGCAAATGACCCCAGAGGGGCTGAAATGCTTCTGGCCATGCCCTCAAGGCATCTCTGGCTTCCACTGAATTCCAACAGTGCATCCCCTGGAAATCCAGAATTACAGTGGGTTTGTAAACACACATGGTCAGGTCCAGGCAATCTGGGCAATTCAGGAGTTTTGGGGGTGTGTACATTTCCCACATTGACCTTCACATCTAGAGTTCAGTCCCACAGATTTTACTCCAGGAGTCTTCTCATAATTTTCCACTTTCTGTTCCCTGCCAAGGGTCTGGTTGTGTTTGTTCCTTATCTTTGTCCTCCAAAGGCTTTCAGTGTCACATTAGGCAGCTTTAGAGCAGCTGCTCCCGCACTTTCCTCCTTCCTTATACCCAAGAACTGAGTTTCCCAGGTTAAAGAGCTGAAATACAGATCCTGGGAATCTGGCTTAGCCTTGATGAGGGATGTGGTCAATAACCACAAGGCTATTCCTTTTATTTCTTCCTTTGACAGCTTGTTATGCAATTACATTTTTCAGTAAGTTGCATGCTTTCTTCAGGCTAATGATCCTTTTGATGGGGTGACAGTTCAGAGACTTACAAACATCTGAAAACTAGAGGGAAGAATGGAAAATATTTTGAAACTTCAGCTGTGGTATGATGCAAGTCTGAGCTCTAATGAAGGGTGTTAAGGAGGATCTTTTCAAAGCAAGACAATGTAAGTGCTGTATGGTTTAAGAGCTGGGGAAGAGGCACCTGAATTTTCCATGTCAGGTTTCTGTGGATCCTCCTGAGGCTGTGGAGTGCTGTGGACTTTGCTTCTCTGAGCAGAGGAACACCTGGCCATGGCCAGCACCTCTCTGGAGACCTTGCAAAGCAGGTGTCTGTTGGATTTATCATTGTCACATCTTGCTCTCCACGTTCTGCCTGGTTTTCCCAGGTGTGTTGCTGAGCTTGGCACAGAACAGGCAGGGAGATGGGAGCTGGGACCAGCCCAGGGAATGGCTGAGAGGCTTCTGAGCAGGCAGGATCCCTGCAGGATCTCTGCTCCTGGAAATCCAGGCCAGCTTTGCTCCTGCCTTGGTAGGTGATGGTACCTAAAGCCTGGTCACTGTCAGTAATCCCTGTGCTCGTAGACCAGCCCAGAATTAGCAAAATACTCTCAAATCCCCTTCCTCTTGGGATGTATGGAACCATCCAGCTCTTTGCAGGCAGGGAGGAGGTGGCTCTCCAAGTTAGTGGCAGAGCCAGGAGTCTCACACAGACATTTCTGGGCTTGCAGGCTGGGTAATGCCACGCTGGAGGGATAATGCCAGGCTCTGAGCACAGAGCTCCTGTCCAGCATCCACTCTGATGGATTAAGAGTGTTCTTCAGAGCACATTCTGTAATGTGGGACAAACTTCTGCATGGAGCATTCATAGCTCCTTCTTGGAGTTTGTACTTCTCCCTCCAGACACATCCTCCAGCTTTTTGTTATACCCAGATTTACTCACTTGTGGTGTTTACATTACACCAGCTTGAGGGGGAAAGGAAGGGAATTTTTCTGTATATGAACTGTCTGGGTGATTTTCTACAGCTGCTTTGAAGGATATGTCTGTTACTTATATTGGGACTTGGATTCTATGGACATATGGCAGAGAACACAATTCTCCAAAAAGCAAAAGAGTTTGACTGATGGAAAACAAGAGAGCAATCCAAGAGAAACCCTGCCAGAGGAGGAGCATGAACCTGAAATTTACTGTTGAAAGCAGACTTCTGCCTTGGGCTTAAGCACCACACAGCCAATTCTACCAGTGACTGCAGAGTGCTCTGCACAGATGCAAGGAGCTGCTTTTTGGACCCAATGGAGTCTGGAGCTGAAGTATTGTTCTGGCATCGCCACTGGTTTGGAAATGTGCAGGTTGGCCTGCGCTCCTGAAGCACTGGGACAATTACAGGGTTCTTAAAAAGTCAGAAATGTAGAGAGCCCCTGAGTTGAGGCAATTCTGGCTTTTGCATAGTGAGTTTGTAAAATCCATCAGAAATCGAAGAGGGCATGAGAGATTTCATTTTAGACTGTTCAATCCCTTATTAATTGCACCGTGGATGGCAACACAGGAAACGTGAATTGCAGACAAGTCTTTTTTTCCCATTTATTCTGCTGCGTGTTGTTTTGACTTTCCACTTCCATGCAGCTCACGGCTTGCAGCAGCAGCAGGAGAGCTGCCAGGAAGGTTTGGCCTCATCTGTTTTTGTGTTTTTCAGGAGCCAGCAGACTCTGTGACCGGGAGCCATGTCGGTCAAGCTGACGTTTGTGTCCCCTGGGGACGGCGCTGGGATCAGCAGGAGCTGCTCCTTCACGGGATTCAGCACGGTGCAGAGCAGGAAAGCGGCGTAAGTGACCCTGGCCTGGCCTGGCTGGAGGCTGGCAGGGCACCCCAGCTTCCAGCTGCTGCTTTTGCCCCTCTGTGCTGAAGTGCTGGAGCTGTGGTGTCGCAGATCCAGAGCTGTGCCCCCAGCACTGCCAGGATGCTCCAGTGCCATTTCTGCTGGGAAAACGGGGGATTTTAGGGATATTTAGGGAAAATAACTCCCTGCTGTTGTCCCTGGCCAGCTCTGACCGAGCTCTCACAGCAGCCAAGGAGCTGAAAATCCCCTGGGGATGTTCCTGGTGAATCCTGGCAAAATCTGTAGCAGCCCCAGACAAATCCTGCCAGAGCTGTCGGGGCAGGGCAGCAGCACAGGGAGGAAGGGCAGGGTCCTGGCAGGAGGGCAGGAATCAAACACTGCAATTCCCTGCTCTCACAGCAGCCCAGAGCCCAGCAGGGCTGCAGCCTTCAGTCCCCAGCTGGCCTCTGGAGCTGCTGAGCATCCTGCACTGCTGCTCCCATTCTGCTCTCCATAACTCCTTGGGCAGCGTTGCTCTGTGTAGTCACTGCAGCTTTTCCACAAAAAAATCCTGTGCTTTTTGTGAGTTTAGCAACCCCTGCAAATCCCTGTAAATCTTGAGTGCTTTTAGAAGATACGACCTATAAATGGGAAATGAATACGATCTCTGACTGCCAGTGCATGCTAGAGCAATAATAAAGTGAATCATTTAGCTGCACCCTATAGAAGCATTGGCAAGTGTGCCTCAGGAACATTGTACTCAAAAAGAATCCTGTTGTGTATCAGTAAAATCCTGACCCATGGAATGAAGCATCTTTTCAAAGAACCAGATGACTGAATTAAACTTTTGGTTGAACACAGCACGGTAAAGTATGAACCACAAATGAAATCCTTGTATGGTTGTGATGCAACTGAGTCTTCAATTTGGATACATTAATTTGTTGGTGAAAGTGAAAATTAATGTTACCCCTAGCAAAGATCAGATATCTAAAATCCCACCAACTGCTAAGATCTGGAGAAAAACTCTGTCAGATGACACAGGCAGGCTTGAGCTGCAGTCCAGAGGGAGAGTTCTAGCAGGGAAAGGATCTACCAGGAGCAGGGCTGAGCAGGGGTTTCCAGTGGGGTCCCAGAGCTCCAGACAGAATAATTCAGCATCCCTTAGGGTCATCCTCTTACATCTGGCTGCAAAGCTTTCCTGACCAAGTACCTCTCTTTATGCACTTTCCTGATGTTGTTTTTCATTATTTGAGTGTTTAGACAGACAGTTTTGTTCAGGAATCACTGCAATAAGGAAGATTTCTGCCCTAGACACTCAGTCACAGCCCAGTGAACATGAGAGCCTGCCCTGGCACAGACAAGGAGTTTTTTAATCACCCTTTCCTAACTTCTCTCTCCCTCAGGCATTGTTGCAAAACTCAGCAGGAGCTCGCAGGGGCCCTGTGCAAGGTCTGTCCAAGGATGACACACAAATCAGCCCCACATGGACATTCTTCAGCACATGCTAAATATACTTTTGCTTTTCTTTAGCAACTTCCCCTTGGGTCTCAGTCAGACACAATTTTGTATTTCCCCACCATGGTCTCCACAGGAAGTAAATGTTATTCCTGTTATCTGTAAAGTGGGAAATCTGATCCTTAAATTATCAGGTTCACAAGGGAAAGCAGCATGAGAACATTCAGCTTTTAGCTACTGGCCCTCCAGGCCATGTCAGCTACTTCACTTTCGTATGAAATGTATGAAAATGGGATGAAAATGTGTGAAATGTATGAAAATGGGATTCTTAACATCAGGGCTCAGTGGCTGCAGCAGCCACTGGGAGATGCTGAGGAGAAGGGGCAGTGGGGATCCCAGCCTCTGTGTGCAGCACTGAGGTGCAAGGGAAGTCATTGCCAGAATTTAGGATCTGCACTCCAAAAATATGAAGGTAAATTCTAAAATGAAACAAAACCCTGGAGTAATTCAGGCTTTTAATTTCAAAACAGAATTATCTTGTCTCTTTTATTTGGTATCTTGCTAATTAAAGTACTTGAGAGCTTGGAATTAGATGCTATTTCTTCTTGGCATGAAAGAAAGAATTTCAAGCAATGAGACTCTTTCAACTGCCCTTATTGGTCAGACTGTCCCTTCCAGTGTTATTCCTGTTGAAAGTCTCTCACTTTGCATGGATACATGCAAAGATACCCAAAATACATTATCATAATAAAGAAAAGTAATATTAATGTAAGGTTCTAATTTAACAGCTATGTTCCTTGTAGGCAACCTGAGCTCCAAATGGTTTGGTTAATTAATTCTTTCCATTAAGGCATCATAAAAAAACAAGGTAATCAGCGGTGTGAAGAAATTAGGTATCCAGCAATGTTTGGCAACACCTAGTTTATCAGATTATTTGCAGAACAGATGTTAAAACCTGGAATTAAGTGGAAATTTAGGACAAGGATAATTAAAGTAGGTACTCAGGGGCTTCTCTAATCGGACTAGGGACAGCTCTCAGGTGTGTTGGGCCTGGGCTTTCATCACCCAGCACAATAATCTCATTAGGCCTCAGTTACAAGCCTGGAACTGAAAGCAGCCAGGGGGTAACTGGGGGGCCTGATGGAGTTCATCATTTCTCCAGGTGAGTAGAATTTTGAGTAGAATTTAGGATGGAAATTGTAGAGAAGGTAGAAAGCTGTTTAGAGAGCAGCTGGCTGGTTTGGCTTGCTTTGGTGATGGGAAATTTCTCTAGGTAATGTTATTTTAGAGGCTTTACTTAGGGGGATTATTAACAAACCTACATAAAAATAGCCAAGACTTAGGGGAGGATATGGAGAGAGGTAAGCCAGGCAGGAATTATTTGCAGAGAGCTCATTTTCTGCTTTAAAGGTGTCTCCAACTGATGGTTCAAGGTGTTCTAACTGCTTAGGTTGGCACAAAAAGTTCTGTGTGGGGGACTTCTGGTAGAAACAATATTTAATTTTGATTTTGCAGTTGCTTTTAAAAATAATTAGCTGAGGTGTTAGATGCTGAAAAAAAAACCCTTGCTAATTTTATCTTGTGTGCAATCTGGGCCTGGCAGTTGGCTTTTCACAAGTGAGTGGTGCTCTGAGGCACGGTTTAAAGGGATGGTGGGTGGCAGAGAAACAGCAAGTTCTAAAGGCTCAAACATTGAGCAGCCCAAGGTTTTCTGTCTGTGTGCAGGTGGAGCCAGAGGGCACTGGCCCTGCAGCAGGGCTGCCTTTGGGGCTCTGTGGGTGCCCCCTGCCCTGCTGGGCTCTGTCACTGCCAGGGCGCTCTCAGGTGCCCAAGAACCACTGAGCGAGCGGGAGTGGGACTGGACAGAACCGGTACCCTGAAGTTCTGTGCCCCAGGCATCTCCCAAGTGATGGGCTTCACCCCTTTCTGAAACTCCTTTCTCTTCCTGCAGCAAATCCCTCAGCAGAAGCTCAGTGAGATCGAGGATGTCACTGAAATCCCCCAAGGCCTATAACTCCCTGCAGAAGGGGGCACTCATCTGGGATCCAAAGCCACTGCAGGTGAAGAAAATTTTTGAAGCTTTGAAGAAAGGACTTAAGTAAGGACTTTTTCAATATTGTAATTTGCTTTACTCGGTGGTGCTGCTTAAATCTGTGTGTCACTGTGCTCTGTCTCCATCCTGAACATCTCTGAACGTGTGTGGTGGCTGCCCCAGACCTAAAATCAGCTTCATTCACTCTCTCAAGCACGGGGCTCTCTTTTGTTTTGTTCCTCTTTTGGTTTATTCCACTCTGCAGAGTGTCAGTGAGCACTGCCCATCTCCAGGGGAGCCACTGAGGCTGGCAGGGCAGGGATGGGACAGCCAGACATGGGGAGGGGGTGGCAAAAACTTTTTGGAGAGGGAACTGTGTGGAGTTTGCTTTGAATCAAAAAGCTGACTTAAAATGGAACCTGAAAATGAGGGAGTGCCCTGCAGAGTGGGGAGGCTGATTCATGGAGCACTTCTGTTCTCCCTGTGCTAATTACTGAGCCCTTACAGTGAGCTGTTCTAGGGGGGTGTCAGGATGGGCCTTCTGGGGTTTTCTGTATTTTTTTTTTCTCTCCCTCTTTTAATAGAATTAAACTCCAAAGTTCAAAATTACTCTGTGGTCTCTGGGTGTCTTGTAAGGCAAATGTCTAAGCAGGTTCACCTGAAAACTTGAGCTTTTTGATTTCCCAGAATGTTCTATTATCACAGAAATTTCATTTACACCCTGCAGCTGCTATTGGAAGATAAAATGCCTTTCCCTGGATTTGTAAACCCTGCAGCTCTTTCTGCTGGCACCCTCCTAACACTTCCTGCAGTGTGCCACTGCTCTCCTCCACATTTTGCTACTCTATTCATTTTGGTCATAGTTTATTTTCTTAAGCAAAGAACATCAAATGCAGTGTAGTAATTCTTTATAAAGTCACATGTGTCACATTTTTAGTCCAATAAAAGACCATGAAATCTTCACCCTAAAAATATCCACCAATGTCTTATTAGAGGATTTGGATTTAAAAGAAACAAAGAAACCAAATGTTTTTGCAGAGCTGAAAATTTATCTGAGCTTAGGGAGGAGAAACTATAAAGTGGGTCAGAATTTGTTCCCAGTTTTGCAGCGAGTGCCACATGCTCAGCCTCCTGCCAGGAGTGAGTGGCTGACTAATGGACTGAAGTAACCTACAGAAAACAACTGGATCAAATAGCAATGCAAAGGCCAAATTTTAAGTAAATGCAGACTAAGTCCACTCGGTGCTGGAGTGACTTGAAGTTTTAGTACAGAACATATTTTACGTGCCAGTTTCTTTATAGCTATAGAAAATAACTCTTTATTCTGCTAACCATCTGGCTGCCATTGCATCAAGCTGATAATTCTAACATACTTAAAGCTAAAAGCGATGAAGCTTTTGTAAAAGGTGAGTGAGTGCTTTTCTGCCTCCAGCCTTGGCTGCTTCTGCACTGAGCTGTTCCTGGGCAGGTGTTAAGAGCAGCTGAGTGCTGGAGACGTGGCATGTCTTGGGGGACCTGGCTTTGGAACAGTGAGAAAATGAAATGCATCAAAGCCAATGTGAGGAAGTGTAGCTGTCTAAAATGAAGTTATTTTGACTGCTTGGAGGCTGTGTCTAAGGATGTAGTGTTTACCAGGTGATTCTGGCTCCCTTTTAAACATCAGAGGAAAAAGTTACCTAAGTCTGCTGTGTATTAAAAGCAAAGCTGGAAGAGTCTCAGCTGAAAAGGTCTTAGGGCCTGTGGAAAGTGCTAAGGCAGAACCCATGCATGCAAGCAGCTCTAGAGAAGCCAGCTGGCACCGAGTGCTTCACACCTTGCAAAACAGTTCTCCTGGAAAAAGGAATAGTTGCATTAAGGAATTGCCTTAACACAGTCTTCAGCTCTGTTTGCTAAAACCCTGGGCAGCATCTGCCCCACCTTACCTGTGCAGGTGTTTCATGTGGCAAGGCTCTGGCTCTCTGAGGCAGAGCTGACTGCTGAGCTCCTCCTCCTCCTCAGTCACTGGAAGTGCAGAATTCCCCAGGATGAACCATCCTGCTGCCTTCCAGGAAAGGGTCAGGTAGGAGCAGCTAGGGAAATCTGAGAGGGAGCTCTGTGATTGATGTGTGTTAGAACTTGCCATTCTGCTGGAAGCCCTCCCCAGGGGATCTCTAGGGAATCTCAGGAGGCTCTAACGTGGGTTTGCTTTCTCTCCAGTGAATACCTGGAAGCACATCAGGCTGAGCTGGATTATCTCTCTGGTCGGCACAAAGACACAAAAAGGAACTCTAGATTGGTAAGGTGCTTTCAATGTTAAATACTTGAATAAGAATCCCAAAAGTAGGTGCTTTCTCCCCCCTGGGACTCCCAGTCCAGTTAAAGCACTGAGGTGGGATCCAGCAAAGCAGCACAATCAGGCGTTTCCCAAGCAAGGTAGCCCCTGATGGAGAATTTAGCCTGAAATTTCTCATTTTCAATAGCCAGCAGTGCTCTTCAGCTCATGTTTCTTTACTGGGCTGAATCTCCCTGTGTCAGTGATCAGTGTTTGCAGTAGGAATTTAGTGTAAATTAGGAATTAGTGTAAATTAGGAGTCTTGTAGTGCATACAAAAGTATTATTAATGCCACAAATCCAGGTGCTCCCCTCCTCAGCCTGTGCCATTTCTCTTTCAGGCTTTCTACTATGACCTGGATAAGGTAAGGCTCTTGGGGATGGCATGGAATGTTGCAGGTAGAGGAAAATGGGTGCTTTTCTGTCTGCTGTGTTACCTAATGACACATTTAGGAAATTATTTTTAAATCCCTTTCTCTCTCTCTGCCCTCATCAAAAGCAAATCCGCTCTGTGGAGAGATACATCAGGAAATTGGAGTTTCACATTAGCAAGGTAAGGGGTTTATACCTTGTACCTGTCAGGCTCACACTGCTTTGTAAGTGATCTACCCACAAGGAAATACATGGATTATAATTCATCTGAAGGGGAGAGTGCTGGGGACTTGCTGAGAGCTGTAGACACCCTTCTAACAGGAGGAGGGGATTTTTATTTATTTCTTTTCCTGAATGGTTCTATTCAGGCTGAATGTTGGGCACGACCCAACCTGAGTTTTCCTGTGAAAGCAGTTTGCATTTTGTGCCAGTTTATTCAGAAAATGCTGCTCTGGGAAGCCTGATGTGTTCTCCCCACGAGGGGCCACAGGGGCAGTTCTGTGTCTGCTGCCTCTCTGGCACAGCTCACACTGCAGGGGCTTCACTCTGTGCTCAGGGAATTGCTTTCCTGCTCTGCAATTCCTGTCAGCAAAGACTTGCTCTACTTCTTGTCTTCTGTTCTGGTGAAAGCAGAGCTGCTTGTATTCCTGGGAGAAGCGTGGGATACTGAGGAGCAAATGTTGCACTCTGTAAAATGCAGGAGCTGCAGCGTTCTGCAGTGCCCTGACACAGGCATTTGGGTTGGTTGGTGGCTGTTTTGCCAGGAAACACTGCTGATGTTCCTTTCCAAAACTCCTGAACAATGCCAGGGTAATTCCAGTTCCTTCTTTCCCACGTTCCAAAGGTAGAAGAGCTCTATGAAGCTTACTGCATCCAGTGCAGGCTGAGGGATGGGGCCACCAACATGAAACACGCCTTCTCCCTGTCCCCTTCCACCAAAGCCTCCAGGGAGAGCCTGGTGGAGCTCTACAAGAACGTCCAGGAGTGCACAGAGGTAGGAAATCCTTCCCACTCGTAACCAGGACCTGCCTGTTCCCTCACAAAAATGTGCTGGGAGGTGCTGCTGGCTTTTTTTTTTTTAAAGGTGTGGGTTAAAAACTTCATGTGTGTGACTAAAATACAGGTACACTGTATAAAATTCCTTAGTGCTGGGGTCTCTTACAACTTCCACTGGAAGTGTGGGATGAGAATTGAAGGGATAAGCTGTGCTATTTTTTACAAAACCAGTAATGGAAGGCAACTGACAGTGATGAGCTCAAGGAGTTCCACTCTTCTGTGAAAGATTTTCTGTTTTACAGAATCCATTCATATTACTTTTATCTGCCTTTACTGGTGAAAATGTTTGTGTGTCCTTTAAAAAAAAAAACAAACTAGCATGTGTGGGGAAGCAGCTCCTCTGCAGTGCTGGTGACTGCAGTGTTTCTTTTAGGACATGTGCTTTATAGAGGGGGCTCTGGAGGTGCACTTGGGAGAGTTTCATGTGAAGATGAAAGGTAGGTTCCTCTCTTTCCTTCAAGGCTCATTGACTTGGGGTTTCATGGATTCATTGACTTGGGGTTTCATGGATTCATTGACTTGGGGTTTCATGGATTCATTGACTTGGGGTTTCATGGATTCATTGACTTGGGGTTTCATGGATTCATTGACTTGGGGTTTCATGGATTCATTGACTTGGGGTTTCATGGATTCATTGACTTGGGGTTTCATGGATTCATTGACTTGGGGTTTCATGGATTCATTGACTTGGGGTTTCATGGATTCATTGACTTGGGGTTTCATGGATTCATTGACTTGGGGTTTCATGGATTCATTGACTTGGGGTTTCATGGATTCATTGACTTGGGGTTTCATGGATTCATTGACTTGGGGTTTCATGGATTCATTGATTTGGGGTTTCTGGGTAGCAATCACATCCACAGTTATTCAGAGAGACCTGGAATAAAATGCTGGTTTTTGCTCCAGTGCTATAAAATAGACCTGCCATGGTATTTTATACTTGAATACAAATCTGACAAGCTTTCTTTTTTCAGCTCAATTAAATGTTGTCCTTATAAGAGTGTGCTGGGCTGGTGGTGCAGCTTCTGCACAGAGCTGAGGACAGGAGGGGGTGTTCCTCAGAGAGTCACTGGCTTTATTGCAGGTTGAGGTGCTGGGGGACTTTGTAAAGCTCTACAAACATTCTTAGGAGTTTTCCTTCTCTTTTCAGGGCTGGTGGGCTTTGCTCGTCTCTGCCCAGGAGACCAGTACGAGGTGCAGTTCACAGCTCATTGTGCATTTTGCCCTTCCCTTTCCTGGAGTGAGAGTGCCTGGCAGCGGGAGGGGAGGCTGGGAGGTGGAAAGGAGAGCAGGAGGCAGGGTGTGTGATGAAGGCACGATGTGTTGTGGACAGAGCAGAGCAGTGGTGCCTGGCTGTGCCCTGGGAGGCTGGGCAGGGACAGGGATGTGCTTTGGGTGCTTTCAGTGATTGCCTTTCAAACCCAGCTGCCAGGGCTTTGCCTGCAGAGCTGCCCTGGAGCCAGAGGCTGCCTGCTCGCTGGAAGCCTGCCCTTGGCACGGGGTGAATGCACTCTGTGTCCCCCTGGGTGCCCTCCTGTTCTCACCTTTCCCAGGGAATTCCAGTGCCTGGTACCTCACTGCAGTGGCCTGGGCTCTTCTCCAGTGGCTGGGACGTGCCTTTGGCTGTTGACTGCAGGGGTTAAACCTGCACCCCAATTCCTGCCTCCACTTTTCTGCTGCATCCATCCCAGTGTCCCAGGGAAGGGAATGGCTTTGCTTCTGTGGAGCTGGGCCAGTGTGGGACCTGTGGGCTGAAGGGAATAGTCTGGGACATGCTGACCCAACATCCTCTTTTCTCTCTGGTGTCCAGGTGTTTGTGAGACTGGGGCGCCAAAAATGGAGGCTGAAAGGCAAAATTGAGACTGATGACAGCCAAACATGGGATGAGGAAGAAAAGGTTTTTATACCCAATCTGCATGAGAAGTTTGAAATCAAGGTGTGGTGTATAATGGTTGGATTGGAAGCTGTGGGTTAGCAGGTTTTCTGCTATTCCACTCTCAGGCTACAAAGGGTTTCTCAAAATTCTTAAATAGTTTTATTTTTCTAACTATGTAAAAAATGACAGTTAATCCATGTTGTGCCTAGTGAAGGGACATTACTTCTGATTTTCCTTTGCTACTGGTACTAGTAACCATATCAGTCTACCTGCTTTTCCATGTCCTGGGATACGTGGTTGTGTTGAGAGTTTTTCTTTGTTTTATTAAACAAGTCCTAGATCAATATCTGTGAATTTCTAGGACACGGCCTGGAGGTGGAGACACAGATATGCCTGTAGATATTATTCTTATCCCCCCTGTGGATGCTGAGCACCTGCAGTCCTGCTCTCTGCTGGAGGACAGAATTCCCCCTGTGGGAAGCCCAGCCTTGGCTGTGCCCTGCCCTGGCAGGGGTCAGTCCTTGGGCAGCCTGGCCCCTGGCACCACTCACAGCTGGGCTCTGCAGCCTGCAGGGAGCTGAGGCTGTGCTGGATCCTGTCCTAGTGGGAAACTGTGCCAGTGCAGCCTCTGGGCTCTGGTTAAAGCAGCTCCTGCAGAGCTCCCTGCCCTGCCAGCAGGAGCTGCCTCACACTGGGCACCCTCTCTGGCATCTTGCCTTTGGAAATGGCTTTATGAGGTGGCTCTTTACTTTCACTGCACAATGAGGATCAGTGAGAAGCTAATTCAGATCCCTGTTTTACCACAATTGTTGTAAAACCTCGTGTCACTTTGTGTGACAATGACAGTTTTACTCTTTGTGCCAGCTGATGACAAATGTCCTCCACACCTCCTGCTCTTTCTGCTTGGTGCTCGCTAATCCGTACAAACAAGGAGCAGGTTTAAAGCCAGCAGCTGCTGTCCAGCTGTGTGTCCCCACTCCTGGGACCCCTCCCCTCCGTGGCAGCCTCCTGTGAGCCATTCCCTGTGAGGATGGAGGCTCACAGGTTTGGGAGCACAGAGCTGTGTGCTGGGGTTTGGTTCCCAGAGCAGATCTGCCCTGGGCTCTTCTCCCTTCCCTGCAGGCAGTTTAGGATCTCCTGCTGAGGTGGAATTGGGTGTGTTTGTGTCTCTGCAGGTGACAGAGCTTCGAGGCCTGGCCACCATCCTGGTGGGGGTGGTGACGTGTGACAGCATCAACTTCTTCAGCACCAAGCCCCAGGCCATCGTCGTGGATATAACTGAGCTGGGCACCATCAAGCTGCGGCTGGAGGTCCTCTGGAAGTAAGTACAGCCTCAAACAGCAACAGAAAACACAGCAGATGATTCGAGGTGTGTCCCTGGGCTGCATTCAACACCATGGTCCTCTTTCTGTCTGAGAGCAGGGCAGAGAGCAGCCCCGTGCTCCCTCCCAGCCACCCCCGGCAGCAGCTGATGGGAGCAGGCAGGGCAGGGGACAGAAGCTGTTCCTGTGACCTTTCAGCTCTTCCTTGGTGTCACCACAGCCATGGCACCTCACCAGTGGCCTGACTTGGCTCTGCTCCTCACAAGGAGCGTTCAGTCTAACTCCAGGCAATGCATGTGTCTGCAAAGCACAAAGAATGTCTTCAAGGTGATGGAACTAAACTGGAAGTGGCAGTTTCTGGACACAGTGATAAAAATACATAGCTGAAGTTTTAGGACAGTCATTGTTACCAAGACATGATCTGTTAAAAAGCAGCTTTCCCAAAGATTTGGCACCTTGCATATGTGAGTAGTTATGGATAGAAAGCGGTTTGTGCACTCCAGGGAAGCTGCTTACAGATGTACTTTTAAATAGCTGAGCATTGTCATGGTGCCTGTGATTAAGTTGTTTCACATTTTAAATCTGTAATTTGATTTTTGTAGTGGACTACTGCTGTTATTAAAAGTAAATTCTCACTGTTCTGAGTGCACTGGCACTTACTTCTCCCTCCAGACTCACAGCACAGGGTTTTGAGGTAGTTCTGTTATTTCTGCTTTATGGTGCTGCTGTCCTGTACAGAGAGATCCATCTGCAACAAATCAAGACTTTTAAACCTGTTTTCATTTGCCACTGTCCAGGATCACAGCAGCACCTTGGGGAGGTGCCAGGGAAGCAGGGGACCCTCTCCACAGGTCCCTCTGTGCTGGCTTTCTGCAGCCTGGGCTCTTCCCAACCCTGCAGGGCCAGAGCCCTCCAAGCACCCCTCGGTGTCAGGAGCTCCCTGAAAGGCCCTGTGACCTGTGCAGGCTCTCACCAGGAAAATCAGAAACAGCTCTGGTTCCCTTGCTGGGGCTGGGGAAGGAGAAGCTTTATTGGACCAGCACCATTTTCTGAGCATCCCTTGTGCGTGCTGTGGTTCTTGACACTTGTACCTGCAGCAGGGCTGAGAAATGTGTCCCAGCCACAGCAGCTGAAAGTTATTTTCAAACACAGATTGCTCAAAGTCAGTAAGAAATAAACTCACCTTGGCAGACTTTTGCCTGCCCCTGTTTATGATGCTTTTTCCTCCTGAGATAAGACAGTGGCCACAGCATATGGAGTTTATAGGGCCTGGAAGAAATCCCCTCTGCTCTCTCCTGTGCACCCCCAGCAGTGGCACTGGGAGCCACTCATTCACTGCTGGATCTGCTCTCTTCCTGTCCCCACTGTCAGGAGCTTCAGGATCAATCATGCATAGAAACTGTTCTTACAAAAGACCTGGATGAGGAAATCCCCCTCCTATTTGGGGCTATTGCACAGCTCCTCACAACCTGAATCTCCACAGAAAATTGTATTTGGGGAAAAACCTTCTAGAAAACTCCATCCTGGTGCTGCTGACCTTCTCTGGCTGTGGTCCCCAGTGCAGCTTTGGGCTGGCAAGAGGAGCACATCCGTGGGATGTGGGACAGCATCACACAGCCCTTGGAGCTGGCAGCAGCTGAGCTGGGAACAGGGCTGGTGTGACTCATTTTCTTTGGGAGTTAATCCCCCTTTGGAATTCCTCAGCACATGAGAGCTCCAGCTCTGTGTCTCTGCTGTGTTTAAATTTTGTGAGATGCGTTGGGGTCTCACCAAGTGGATTCTCCAGAGCTCTTCTGTGCAGAGCTGGCCTCTCCTCTCTGACAGTGTTTGCTGAGGCTGTTTACAGAAAAGAGAAGCTGTGGTGATAACTCAGGGTGTTTGTTTCCAGAGATAGAGCTCTCATAATAACAGCTGCTTTTTCCTCTGATTTAAGAATAACTAAACAAATCCATCTGATTTACCCAAGTTCCCTGAGAGGCAAGCTTTCAGTCTAGACCTGCTTTGTGAGAAATCCAAATGTAGATCTCTCTTCTGCTTCTAAATGTATATTTTCTTTAAATAGGCCTCTGGTCTTCTGGGCTTAAACAAAAGTGCCTTTAGCTCCTTTATAGGTTGTGCCATGAGGAGTGTGAATGAGCTTGGGGCTGTTGCAGAACAGCTTTGTTGGCCAGTTTGGCAAAAGGCTTTGAGTTTTTTGCCAATCTAAACAGCAGTCTGAATTCTGTGTCTCACATGCAGGATAAAGAGAGAGCTGTATTCTCTTTCCAGAACTCCAGGAGTGCCCTGCATTGGGATCCAGGGGCACCATCCAGTCAAAGCACCCTGGTGACTGAGCAGTGCTGGCCTGGCTCACAGGGCCTCCTGCAGCAGCAGGACAAAGCCCTAAGGGAGTGTAAAAAAGGCTTTTATTTTGGGATGCATACCTGCTGCCAGTCTTGCTCTTCCAGATGCAGACTTGGGTGGAGAGGCAGGTCCTGCTGCAGGACCTTCAGGCAGTGATGCATTGGTGCATCTCTGCTCTCTCAGCTGGATACCCTGGACACTGGTGCTTGTTAGGCTGGAAGGGGTGGCTGAGACCCAACAAGCACCTCTCTGCTAAATCCCATGGGCATTTCCCCCTGGGCTTAATGGGGGAAAGAAAAATCTCATTATTAGCAGTGAGTCCAGTCCATTTGATTAGAATTGGCTTTTTTTGGGGGTATCAGTGAAAGGCTGGATTCACAGGCTGAGCAGTGGGATTCAGGCAGGGAATTCCATCCACACTTCTGCTCTGGGGGTATTGGCTCTATGGAGTGGCTGGACAGGAGGGGAGTGATTGGGGCACAGAATGGGGACAGCAAAGATGATCAGACTTGGGGGTCATTTTAGATTTTTATTTTTTTTTAATAGAGTTTTTCAGTCCTGAAAAGCTGTTGCTGAATAATCCTGTGCAGGCATGTGGATGTTGGCTGGGAAATGTGAACAGGAAATGTGGAGCCACTCTTTCTCTCAGCTCAGCCACAGGCACCCCCCACACCCCATCAAAGTACTTACTCCACAGTTTAAGGTTAAACAACGACATTCCTGCATAGTTTTTACCTACGCAGAGGTTTTATGTCAATGATTTCAGGAAGTGACTAAACAAACTGAGGAAAAACCAGTGACAATTCAAGACAATAGTCTGCTTGCAAAGTGTGCTGTGTGACAGAGCCCAGCTATGGATTGTCTCAAACCCCATCTGACTGGCTTCCTCTGGCTTTCCCTGGAACATCCCCTACCGGCTCAGTCTGTGTCAGCATGCTGGGAGAGATGGACTCGTGGAGCTGTCCCAGCATGAGGCTTTGTTGCTGGAGAAATGTGGAGGGAGATGATGGATCTTGCCCAAGGAGCTCAGAGCCAAGAGATAATAGAAGCTCCAGAGCAGACTCCATTCTTGCTGTCCCCCTCTGCTCTGCCCTCTGTCATTCCTTCAGGACCAGGAGCTAGTGCATGTCTGCAGCCAGCTGAAGTATTTAGGCTTTTAGGAATTGTCAGAGGCAAAGCAGATTTTGTGTGTTCTTGTTCCTCCCCTAGAAGTGTCATTTTCCATTACTGCATCTCAGTATTAAAAGCTAGAAATGAAAAATCTGAGGAATGGGTCCCTGTAACTTTTGTTAAGAATGCCGTGGGTAGGAGTAATTTGCTTTCATCAGTAAACACAGCAGGCTTTGGCTGAAAGGCTCTTGCTGTCAGAACCCCGATTTATTTCTGCCCAGAGTCAGTGCAGATGGTTGTTCCCGTGCTGCTGGGGCTGTGATGGAGCCCAGCTGGGTGACACTGGCTCTTTCAGCCAATTAACCTGGGCTAGGGGAGCTCCCAGAGCATCCTCTGTGCTCAGGAAGAGCAGAGTGCTGCACTGCAGGATGCTCTGCACAACTGTCCCAGGGCATCCTGAGAAGCCAGAGAGGGTTGTGACTCTGCTTTTCAACTTTTGCTAGAGAGCAGAAGTTCATTTTGCTGCAATTGATTAGTCCTCATTATCACTTGGATCTCTGCAATGTACAGCTGAATTCAGCTGATTTTATCCTGCTCTTTGGTTGTTGTACTCAATCACTGAGGCTGCAGATTGTTGTGAACAATTCACTTTTTTCAAAATGCCAGTACTCAAATGGAAAAACAAACTTTCTTTTTGTGCCACAAGGCACCTCAATAGGCAACAAAAAGTAACACATACAGAAACTGAACTTGCTTTTCTTAACTTGAAATGTGTTTTCCATCTCCTGGTTAGCTGAGTTCCATCCCAGGGCATCATTCATGCGAGTTTCCTTAGACTGCTTTGCGAAGAAGTTTAGAAACTAATGGCTCAGATGAAGTAGGTAATTAGGAAGTCTTTGGAGCAGCACTTGACGAACCCTTGCAGACCACAGCCAACATGCTCTGGGGCTGTAACTGGCTCATCCCTTGCCTGTATGAACCCCAGAACCTGCCAAGTAGCTCTGCACAGGCCTCCTCTGCCAGCCAGAGGAATTATTTATTAATAGGTGAAGGATAATGAGGGCTTTTATTGGTTTTTCCAGGTGGTGTGTGCTCTGCAGGAGGGAAATTGGCAGTTTCTCCTTTATTACATGTGTTGTATTTCCTTCCTCTATGGCTTTGTGCCTGTGTCACTGCCTGGGCCAGCGCCGCTGTCAGGACAGAGCCCTTCAGCCTTTGGGACCACTGGGCTCCTCTTCCAAAGACTGGCATGGATTTCTGTCAAAGGGTCCTGAGAAGTCTGTGCAAAACCCACAGCCTTTTAGCCTGTGTCTTTCTCTGCTGTAGCAATCAAGGATGGTGGCTAGAGAGGCAGTTTCTGTTTCGTTCTGTTCTGTGTGTTGCTGACTAAAGATTCAAATCCTACCAGCAGCCAAACACCTCTGCTCTCACTGACACCTGGGCCTTTGCTTTCTGCTGCAGCCCCTTTGACACAGAGAACCTGTTTCTGTCACCTGGAAGCACTGCCAAGTTTTCTGTGGGTAGCAGGAAGAGCTCGTTGTACAACTGGACCCCCCCAAACACCCCCAGCTTCAGAGAGAGATATTACCTGGTGAGTGCCTGGAGAGCAAAGGGTGAAGCACAGACCTGGAGCCTGGGTTTTGGGTTGGGTCAGGCTGCTCAGGAGCTCACTCAGAAATGTGAAAACAGCACTCTGCTGCCTTTGCAGTTTGTTTTGGGGCTTTGTTATATTTTTCTGTTAACCCCTATTCTTTTGAGTTCTCTTTTAGATTTTGTAAAACATTTTAAAAAACCCTCAACAAAACTCTGCTCAGCAGCTGGGATGGATGGGGTGTGGGTGTCTGCTGCAGTAATGTGTGCTGGGAATCAAACTGGGAGCCAGGGAAGCAGAGTCCCCTCTCCCAGCTGGGGCTTTCCAGCTGTCTCCAGGCTCACCTGGGCATCTCTTTGCAGTCTGTTTTGCAGCAGAGGCAGAGCCCAGGGGATGGAGGGGAGGAATCCCAGCCTCCCAGCATCCTGAGCTACTTGGCTGCCTGTGATTTCGATGTCCCGGGGAGGAACAAGCCCCACAACCCTGTGGAGACGAGCGAGGGAGACTCGCTCAGCTCTGAGGACCAGAAAGGGGCAGAATCCAGAAGTACAACGCCAGCCCTGGACCACAGGATGTTGCCACTGGTGATTATTCGGGAGACTGGAGGGGAAGAGCTGCAGCATCCTCTGGCAGACCACAGCACTCTGGACATCCTGAAGAAGACGCCGTGTGCGGGTGGCTTCCCCAGCCCCTCCACCTTTCCCACCCGTCACAAAGGCAGGACGGACTCTTTCGGCCAGGCCCGGAATCGCCGCCTGGCAGAGCAGGAAAACATCAGCCAGAAAAGCTGGAATGTGGCAGGTGACCTCAAAGCAGATGGGCGAGCAAAGTCGATTGACAGGACTCTGCAGGAAGTGTTAAATTTGCTGAAATGGCGCGATGAGGGGCAAGCCCAGCTGGAGAAATTGGAATGCCAGGTTTCGTCCCTGAGGGATAAATTGAAGGTAGGGCTGAGTTTCACCCTCGGGAGGAGCTGTGGCTCTCTGTTAGTCGTGGACAGGCTCGGTGGCTGGCTGGAGGCCCAGCTGGGCTGTGGCCAGCAGAGGCCGGGCAGGGCTCGGGGAGCAGCCGGGCCGTGTGGGGAGGGAGCTCCGGGCCGAGCAGAACCTGGGCTCTGTCAGCCCAGAACCTGCGTGTCAGCCCCAGCCTTTGGGCTGGCTACGAGTCCTGGGGTGTTTTTCAATCCTGGGGAAGGGGTGGCTGCAGCTGGGCTGTGAGGCCTGGCGCTGGGTACATCACCCTGCAGCCTCCTCGCCTCACGGAGCGTCCTGGGAACAGCAGGGCTTGGGGCAGGAACACGAGGGCTGGAGTAAGAACTGCTAACGCAACTGTCCTCCCCCTCAGTGAAACCCCTGGAAAAACAGAATATGAAACCCAAACCAGGTACCCTCAGAGCAGCCTTTCTGAGGGGCACAAAGGTGGTGGCTCCATGGAATTCACTGTTGGAATGAAGCTCTTGGGTGCTGTGCTGGAATGCAGCAGCCACCCAAGGTTGCTGCTCAGAAACAGGGAATGAGTGAAAACTCTGGCAGTGACAGGATGCAGAGAATATCAGCTCTCAGCAGCCTTAGCAGGCATGAAGATAAAGGGGACTCCACAGAGATTAAAATATTGAAACATGTGTTGAATTTAACTAGCAACATCATTTTGGGGTCAGACTGCTGCACCAAGAGCAGACTTCCCTGATGTGTTAAGAATGAAATCAGAAAAGCAAAGTGATTTATTATTAGGAATGTTATCAAAACCAACAAAGAACAACTGCAAAATGGTTACAAATAACAGTGTTTCTGCTTCCATTTCATCAACAGCTCAAGACACTTCACAAACACTCGTCTATGGAGAGTTTGATGGTGGAGACAGTGCTGGAGAGTTTTGATTTCCTGAACGCTGACTGCAGTGCTGATGAGCTGTCCCTGTTTGGGAGTGTAAGGACAGGCAGTGTCAGGTATGTGCTGCAGCACCTGCTGGGGACAGGCAAAGGGGTCCCCAAGAGCCATGCTGGGCTGGGAAACAGCTGTGGTGCCAAATCCAGCACAGAAATATCTCCCCATGTTTTTACAGGGTTATAAATGCAATTAAAGAAAAGGTGGGTTTCTGTTCAATGCCACCTGGTTTCTTTTGCAGCTCCCTGTTGAGGCTGTACTTCATCAATTTTATTTAGTGATGAGGCTTTTAACTCTCTTTTCCCCTCATCTCACCAGCACATACAATGGCAATGTGCTCCAGTCCCTGAGCTGTGACACAAGACCAGAAGCACGAGATGTAACTACTGGGGATGACAACCTAGACACGCTGTTGATAACACACCTGAGGCTGTGCAAAGGTCTCCTGCAGGTACAGAGCAGCCTGGGGGTTTCCAGGGCACTGGCTGTCATTGTTGATTCTGATTACAGGAGAATTTGATATGTTTTGTTTGTTTTATAACAGGAGAGAGATTCAGAATGGAAATTGGGTGTATTAATGCAGTGTACACGTGTGTCCACACAAAACATGTCATGCAAAACTGCTGCCTCTTTTCAGCCTCTGGGTTTTGCTGAAGCTTTAAGCAGTACCTCAGTGCTCAAAGCAAATGCACAGGCTTGCCTTGGCTTGGGTAGTGTTTAATGAATGAAAAACTGCTACAATAGAGGGCAGGTGTCTGATGGGCAAGGGGCCTTCTGAGAGCAGACAGGGTTTTCTCACCTGTCTTAAAAGTTGGACTCTAAGAAGCAAACCCTCATTTATCTGGAGCTTGATCCTGCTCTTGTTTGAGCCCCTGAGTTATGTCTGTTGCATTTCAGAAACTGAGGACACCAAATGTAGCCCAGGTGGTCCAGGAGAGCATTTTGGAAGAAGTGTCAGAGCAGACACGAGTCCTGGGGGATGTCCTGGATCTGTCTGTTGAGAAAAGTGAGTACCTGCCTTGCTCCAAGGCATGTAGAGCTGGGAGAGGTGCACTCCTGATGTGTCTGCTCCAGCCTCCCCAGACCCAGGGGCTTCACTCTAAATTCCTTGCAAACATTGACATCATTAAACCAGCTCTTTTATCTGGAGTCTTAGGAAAAACAGGGCTCATTCTTTGGATCATTTTTAGTTCTACACAGAAGGAAAAAATTTGGAGAAGTTGGGTTCAGAGAAAGAATAGCTGAACTGATATGTCTTAAACAGGGATACTGTAGATGGTGGAGTTTGCAAAGAGCAGCAGAGCGGCCTTACAATCCTCTTTTCTATCTGTGCTTTTCCTTGGTAATCAAACAGCCCGAATTCTGTGCTCACTTGCCAGAACAGTTTGGTGGGCACAGAATTCTATCTCAAGTCTTCCCACTACTAAATCCTTCCGTTGGCTGTTGGACATGACAAAGTGATAAAGCACAATGAGAGGCTTGGAAGGCTTTTGTTCTCATCTTGGTAAATACAGCAGCAAGAATGCAAATTTATTTGGAAGCGTTTGCTGGCAGATTTTGCCCTGGAGGATGTGAGAATAAACTGTTCCCTGGAGCAGAGCTGCACAGGGCTGGTTGAGTGTGGCAGGGGAAGTGTGGGAGAGGCAGGAGCTCAGTGTCTGCAGGTACACTGAGGGATGAAGGGTTCGGATTAGGAACCACAGGGATTGCTGCATGTGCTCTTGGCAAGGGTTTGATGGTGCTCCGAGGTCAGAGCTCTGCCCTGGGCAAGGAACACAAGGCAGGATCCCTAGAAAGGGTTTTAGGCAGTGGCACCTCCTTGGCTGACAGAAGGGCAACCACCTAAACTCCCAGAACGTTCTGGAACCGACTCAGGTGCTGGGATGAAGGGAACAATGAGAGGAACAAGAAGAGCTGCTGATGGCAGTTTAGGAGCTCAGCCCAACAAGGGGAGATCAGTGCTTGCAGGTGTGAACGTCTGGGCAGCAAATACCTCGTTTTTAACAAAACCATCTCTAATGCAAATACAATTTAATGCTGCCCCAAGTTCAGGCAGGCCACCTGCTGCCTAATTTCTTATGTAAAATCCCAAATATGCTAGAGCTTGCTGACTTTTTAAAATGTTGGGTTTCAGTTATTCAGAAGACTAAAAAGAAGAAGCAGTATCTGAAAATCTGGAGTGATCTTGCAGAGCCTGGCAGCAGCATCTTGGTGACCTCAGCAGAAAGGTTCCGTCATGCCCTGAAATACACAATGATGCTCAAAGTGAAGGAGAAGTACCCCAGCCACCTGGAGACAGGTGAGCACCTGGGCACGCTGTCTTCATTTCAGTGCCGTGCTCAAAACTGTCCTTGTGCATTTAGAAAACCCCAGACCCAAACCTCTCGCTCGTTTTCAGCAGCTTCCATGTAACCGAGCTGCCGTTTCCTCTGTGTCCCTCCCCTGTTCCCTGCAGTGCTGCAGAGGCTGCTGGAGCAGATCCTCACCTGTGACGGGTTGCTCCCCTCCTCGCATTTCCAAACGGAACCGGTTACTTTATTCCAGTTTTATCGTTACCTGGAGAGACACCGCATTGGCAGCCTGGAGAAACACCTGGCAAAACTTGCTAAAGAAGGTAATGGCAGTGCTTGGCTCCTCCTGCAGGGCTGGTGCCCTCCGGGGTCCCGCTGGAGATACAACTCCAGAGCAGGAAACAGCCCAGCCCTTGCACTGACAACTTGTTTCCATTTTTATTCCTCTTATGACCATGTAGTTTTAATCAGAACAGGAAAAGCATGCTTGACTCCCATATCTGAGCATGTGCAAACAAACCCCGTGTGAAGAATGGGCTTATCTTAAGTGCCCTGAAAAGTGTTTTTTTTGGATATTCTGAAGCTGAAGCAGACAGGAGCAGGCTGCAGCTGGATCCAAGGACCGAGTGCAGTCGGTGAATTGGGTTCACTGTTTAGCTGGACTCAGCCACAGAAAAGAGCAGTACAATTGCAGAGGTTACTGGTGTGTACTCTGTAGCCTGAGGTAGCCAGTGCCTCACTGGAGCCTTGTCCAACATGTGAAAGTACTTCAAAACTTTTCAGTATTAGAAAAGAATTAAAAATAGTCCTGGTATTGGCTGCATCTTCAGGGTTGTGTTGATGCAGAGGGCTCATGGAGGGTCTGAGAGCCTGAGCAGGGCTCTGCTGTCCCAGCTGGGCAGGGCTGGCCTGGCCGGGAGCGTTTCCCTGCCTGAGGCCGGTCCTGCCCCACAGCGATGCTGATCGAGGAGCTGCAGTGCCCCGGCAGGCTGAAAACGCTGAAGAGGCTGAAGGGGAAGAGGCTGAGCCGGCTGCAGCCGCTGCCACGGACACTACGGCTGCTCGGGCTGCTGCAGCTGGACCAGAACCACCGAGTGAGCAAAGCGGCCACCGCCTGCCTGGCCCGGGCCAGCGGCAGCAGCAGCCTCCGTGCACGGGTGAGTGGGGATGGGGGGACAGAGGGGGAATGGGGGGACAGAGGGGAATGCAGGGACAGCAGGGAATGTAGGGAGCTTCCCCCAAACAGCGCTGCCTTCCTTGCCTTGCTCTCGCTGGGAACGAACCCCTCAACACAGCAGTGCTCGAGTGATTTGTCTCTGTCTTGTTCCATTTCACCAGGGCAAAACTGCTCCTGTAACTCGGGTTTGGTTGCTTGGTTACACTTCCAACTTTTTTTATTTTCCTCTCTTTTCATTCAGGCTGTCTTGTTTTACACCGATGTTTTATCCGACTGTGACACGAGGCTTCAGCAGGCTGCGTGTCTGGCTCTGAAGAACCTCAGGGTGAGCGCTCCCAGCTCTGCTGCTGCAGGGCCTGCCTGCCCTGAGGATGTGTGCTGGAGCTGGTGTCTGTGTTTGCTTTGTAAAAGTGTCCATCAGACTGCTGAAAAGCTGCTGAGGCAAGTTCTTCTTTTCTCTGACAGGCTGTGGAGAGCATCGAGCAGGTTGCCCACCTGTGCCAGTCTGAAACAGAGGAAGTCAGGAATGCAGCCAGAGAAACCACACTGTCCTTTGGTAAGGCTTTTGTACAGCTTTCAAATGGTCTGAAAAAGGGATGTGAAATAGTGCAGGACCAAGAGGGGCCTCAAGTTCAGCCAGAACACATCCAGGACAACGGAAATATTTCATAAACAGCTGCTTCATACCATGAAGATAAACTTTACATCACACATAACAGCCAAGGGCCTCTGATGAAGTTTATAGAACCAGACCAAGGAGATCCTGAAGGATTAAGTGCTTTAGGAACCACTGGACCTTTTGAAAAGTTCACAGATGAGGACTGACAGTTTTATGCTGGTTCATTACTTGTTACTTCACTGGAATCCAAGTAGATTGACAGTGGAGGTGACCTGATAAAATGTCAGTGCTCCCCACCTCCGACTGCCCAGTATTTGTCTTTTCCTGGGGGCTTAATGGCTGGAATGCTGCCAGAGCATGGCCAGGTCATGCAGGAGATGACCATTTCCCAGTTCTGTTCTTCCAAACCCCACTTTGAGCCAGGCTTAGTTCTGGGGCTCTCCAGCCTTGCCCCACGGAGCACTCAGGCTCACACACACGACAGGTTTTCCAGCAGTAACGATCCAAACTGTTACTCATGGAAATCATTGCAGGAGGCCTGATTTTCCATGGTGGCTTCTAGCTGGTTTTGGAGAACTGTTCCCTGAGGGATGTTTGTCACTCCTGAGTCCTTTCTCCCAAGCAGGGCTGTGTGACAGGAGTGTCCCCAGCTGGCCACGTTGCTCAGGGTGTTCCTGCCTGTCCCTCAGCAGGGGCTGTTTTCTCTCTCTGCAGGGGAACGGGGCCGACAAGCCTTCGAGAAGATGGACAGGATCTGCTGTGAACTGAGAGAAACAGCTCAGGAGGCCGAGATTGAAATCACAGTGTTTTAGTAGTGGAATGTGAGGAGCTGGATCCCCTTGTCCTCACAGCCACACGGGTACCTGAGGGTTTGGTTTTGTCTGGTTTCCTTCACTGCCTCCTGCCCCAGGACAGGTTTATTTCCAAAGGGGACAGTTTGTGCTCTCCATGATTTTCTCAGTCTAACACATGAGATACCAAGTGCTGGGCAAATGAAAGCTGGGATCTCTCAGAATGTGGATCCACATATTAACTGGAGTTCAAGTCTCCATCTTGCTGGAATTAGCTGTCCCTGCTCCAATTCTGTCCAATATGATCTATTTTCCCAGGAAGCAATTTATTAATTTGGCATTCTCCAAGGAGACAAATGATCACCCTCCCACACTATCACCTGCCCTGTCAGTAGAACAAATCCAGCACCATTGCTGGGTGGTTTCCTTTGCTTGGGCAATTTAGCTGCAGAAGGAATACCTGGTACTCCCTAAGTAATTTTCTTAATAATTGTTGCAGGCCAGGCCAGGTGCAGCAGGGCCTGACAGGCTCTGGAGGAGGTGTGTGCTCAGCAGCAGGGCTGCAGGGGTTTGCCATGTGCAGGTCTGACTGACAGTGGGACAGGTTTGGTTTTTTTAAATGCTGAATTTAGTCATAGACCAAGACTTCTCCTCCACCCCTGGTGGGGCTCATCCCCCAGCCCTGGCTGGCAGGGTGCCATGGGGAGCAGCCTGGCTTCAGGTGTAATACTTGAAAGGGTTGGGCTTGTGTGTACATATTTATATATATATATATACACATAAAACTTTTCTATTTGGTATTTATTTGTTGGATTTCATACTGTTTTCTAAAGTTCTAATAAACCTTTTGAGACAAGCTCCTGGGAGTGTTTCTTACTGCTCTGCCTGAGGCCCCAGAACAGGTAAACACTAAACCCCCAAAGGGACAACTCAATCCCCACAGGACAGGGCCCTGGTCTGCCCTGTCCTGCTCCATGTTGCTGAACTCTCTCCTCCAGCTGTAGATTTCCTTAGAAATATAAACCAAAGGGAAGTACTGGAATTCAAACAGCAGAATGTGCAGGCTGCAGCTGCAGCCAGCGTCAGCATCAGCTTCTGCAGGGACCAACCAGGGTGCCTGAGTGCCTGCACTTCTTACCCTTAAAATGTTCAGTGTGAAAGACCAGAAGAGGGAAATGGAGGTGGCAGGGAGAGATGGGGATCCTCTACTCTTTTACTGGAGCTCTGCCTCCAGGAAGTTCTTACAGAAACATTTAAATCCCTTTACTCTACAACCCCATCCCCTCCAGCCCTCATGTGCACATGGGTCAAGCAGGAGCCCATGGATCCAGCCCAGAAGCAATGACACATTCAAGTGAGTTCTTTAAAAAAAGAGTTTTATTGTTACAACTAAAATGAGAACTGAAAACTTGTATGGGAGATTGAAAAACTGTACAGTTGTACTCTAACCTGGGAGGCCCAGCAGCGGTTTACACAAAAGACAAGATACCTGAAACTGTATTATACCAAAACATTCAGCTTTTTTCTTGAGTTTTTACATTTTTTTTATAAAAGTTTATTCTATGGCAATCTGTAAAAAAGAAAGACCTGATGAGTAAATATTTGCTTAAGGCAGATAGCAGAGCAGCTCACTAACTTTCTAACGAGTCTAACATGGATGTTTGTCCATTTCCAAGAACAGGTTACCCAACACCCCACTGTGCTACGGTATATACACCCCCCAACTACCACAGACAGTACAGGACAGCAAACAAAATGGGCACAGCTCAGGATTGCCAGCCTGCCCACACCTCCCTGGGCTCTGGGCACACTCACCGTGCCCCACAGGTCAGAGCCAGGCCTGGAACACAGGAAAGAAACAGGCACGAAGAGGATGCTCAAAGCTCTTCTGGCATCTGCAGGAACTTTGTCTGGGTAGAATCATTTGCAATTAAGTAACTCTCTGTATTCAAAGGAAGGATCCTTTGTTTTCCTGCCATACCTAAGATTTAAAACACTCCCTCTTGGGAAGGTGGCCAGAGGTGGTTGGGCTTGTTTCTTTCCCCAGGTGTCCCAGTGCCAGGGGAGGTGTGGAAGGGCTGCCTGAGCTCTCTGGAATGTCTGTACTACACTCACTCAGCTGAAAGGAACATGCTACCACCGGCACACGGAGCACACGGGATCCCACGGGAAGTCATGCCAAGGATTAGGCGAGTACATGGGCTCTGATAAACACCAATCAGTCCAGTGCTGAACAGAGAGACTCAGCAACACCCTCTGAACCACAGCCACTAAGGATCAGGTCATGCAAGTATCATTTGGGCACATCAGGAAGCAGGAATATAAGTTCTGTCACCTTTCAAGCACGTGGTGTTTCACCGGGACACCGCAGACTTCACATGCACTTTAATACAAAGGGGTACAAATGGTGCCTCAGGGCAGGGTCCTGCCCACGCTGCAGAGAACAGTGGGGACAAAGCAATCACAGAATGTATCTTAAATACACAGATGAGCCATTATATATTACCATTTTTCTATACTCATTTTTCCTGTTTCCAATAATATAACTAAATATTGACTGATTACAACATTCCTCCTTTCAAGTACTGGTCTGACCAACAGTCTCACAGGTAAAGGATTGATTCCCAGTACTACCTGAGGATTTATTATTGTACTCTTGAAAAGCCCTTGATGCAAGCTTAATGTAACACAAAATAGAAGTAACTCCCACCCCCACCCACCCCTTCACCTACTCACCCACTGAAGGGAGAGCTACACCTACAGCCAGCTTGGCAGAAATAAATACGGAGTGGAGGGCTCCCCTGGGCTCCTGCACAGCGAGGGCTGCACTGAGGGTGGTTAAGTGCTATAAATCTAGAAAGACTTTAGAAATGAAACAGATCAGTAACACTGCTGCAGATCAGCTGTCATGGGGCAGTGCAATCACTACAGCTCCCAGGAGTGAGTTTGCTCCTGTCCTCTGCACCACGACACGAGCAAAGAAATCTTTGCTGTTATTGTTTAAACTATTGAGAATTTGGTATTACCCCGAGGAACAGCACTGGGTGCTTGGTGCAATGCTGCCTTCCAGTGCCCAGCCCTCCCTCAGCAGCACTGCCCCCTGAGCCCTGCAGCACCCAGCCAGGACTGGCATCTCTGCTGCCAACCGAGCAGGGCACACCAACGCTGCCAGCCCAGCCACGGGCTCTGCTGGGAGCCCAGCACAGCTCCTGCTGGCCTGTTCCTGCCCCGGGGAACGGCCCCAGCAGGGACTGCTCTCATCTCCCAACCCTTCCCTGCTCAGAGCCCCTCGCTGGGGCCACGCTGGGCCAGGGGAGCAGAGTGAAACTGCATTTTACATTCCAAATGCTGAGCTTTAAGGACTGGTCCTTCCATGGGCCACGGGCACAGCCCCACTGCTGGTGGACATGGTTTGGTTGAATTTCCCTTCCTGTTTCTCTCCCTCCCCTCGACCTTTCCCAACCCAGAATATAAAAGTAAAAACAGCTTTAGAAAGGATGGTGCAATGTAAAGAGGCATATGTGCAAGTAGAGTGCAACAAAAGTCAATGAAGAGATACACTTAGTAAAGAAATAAAAATAAAAAAAAAATCAAAGAGCTGGACATGTTGGGATACCCTGAGCAAATGCAGAAGCCTGGTTCTATCAACACAAGTAAAAACAATCAGCTCTTTAAGAACAGTTATGCCAAGATTAAATATATCAATACCACAGGCACTGCCCACAACTCAGTCTTTAAAGATGAAGCAAGTTTAAAAAAAAAGACAAAAAACAAACCAAAAACCAACCACAAACACACCTCCCCTTCCAAAAGTTTACATTCTTCAGGTATGTGGGTTTCTTTTTCTTTTTTTGGGAACTTGTCAATGTAAGTCATGTATTTGGTTACAACACTTGGAGAGTACAAGCAAGTTTCACTTGTGCCTAGTTTTTCTGAAACAAAAGAAAATGAACTGGCTTTTTAAAAAAGGCTAAAAACAACAATGTGTTGTAATTCTATTATTTAGTTTAAAAAAAAAAAAAACAAAAAAGGAAAACAGACTATTTGGCATTTTCTCTGCTTACTCCTGAATATTTCAAGGCCCTGAGATTACAATATTATGTTCTTGGGACCACAGGGCTGGATAAAACCCTAGTGCATCAATTCTCTCATTAAGCCCTACCCAAAGTTCTGGCCTTTCCCCTTAAATCTACCTGCTCTGAGCCAAGGCTGCCCTGCCTCGAGGGGCTCCGAGGAGCTGAGCTGAGTCCGGGGCACTGGTCAGTGGAAACACACCCTGTAGCAGAGATAAGCTCCTGCTGTGAGGAAAGTGAACATGCAGATATTCACTAGGAAGGGCTTCCAAGTCGCCACCACGTTCTCATCCTCCTCCTCCGAGTTTTCCTTCACGGACTCCTCCTTGCGGGGCGAGAGCCGCGGGTTCTCACCAACAGTTCTCCTCCGGGGTTCAGTGTCGTGACTAGTGCTGGGGACAGAGGGAGGGAGGGAGGGACACTCAGGGCTGGGTAGGAACAAATATTCCATGCTGGATTGGCCATGGAGGAGAGAAACCATGCAGGTGCTCCAAGGGCAGGGAACACCACAGAGCTCTTGGAGCTGCAGCAGCCACCAAAGCACAGCCTGTCTCCAGTTAGGACGCATCTGGCTGTTCAACAAAGGTTTAGGAAGGGCTTGGGAGGATTCTGTGCCCTTCAAAGAATAAGCTTTAACCACCAGCAGCTTTCATTGCTCATCACAGATCTGCACCAAGACAGGCAGTGAATGCACCCAGCTCACACCCACAGCCAGGTCAGGGGAACACTGAAGTTCTAAACTCCAGCACCTGCCCAGAAAGCCAGAAAGGGACGGGATGTGGCTGCTCGTTTCTAACTCCCAAAGAGCATCTCAGGGTGGAAGCGAGCATCCCCTGCCCTGTGTCTCTGCCTGCAGCCCCAGCAGCCAGGGGCAGTGAGTGCTTTACCTGTCTGTGCTCGCTGGTGCGGCCGAGCAGGCTCTGCCGTCCGGAGCCGCCGGCTCCACGCTGCCCACTGAGCAGCTGCTCTCCTCCTCTGCTGCCTGCTGCTTCGGGGAGAACTCGGGGTGCTCGTGCATCCTCCCGTTGTGCAGCTCTGAGGTTCTCTTCGGGGGCCTGGGAGGTGGGGGGGTGTGCTCAGGGGGTGGCTCCAGGTCTTCATTGGAGAGCTCTTTCCACTGCTCCTTCAGGGAAGGACAAGCCCTGTTCAGATTTTCTCTTTCATGTAAGCTGCTCTAACTTTAAACTTTACTATGGCAGAATCTTTATTCTCTGCCTTTTAATTGACTCTTAAAGTGGCTCTTCATTTGCATTGACAAAAAAAGAAAGGAAAACCAGACACAAGAACTCCAAGCCCAAGTTATATCCACTACACAAAACGTATTTGCCTTAAAAGCAAGAAATTCCAATCTGCTTCTAAAAGATTTAAGCAGCGCAAAATAAAATCTATCTTGCTGGAGTTCTGCTTACCATAAAAAACCCTGATTAATTTATCATGACACTTGAACTTCAGGCATATTAGGAAACTTGTACTGTCTGAAATGTCAGGGGAGGCTGATGCTGCAGCTCCACCCAGTCACTGTGCAGGAAAGCACAGGAGGCACCTGCTACATAACAGGTACTTTTGGAAATAAATAAAATACAGCACTTCAGGTCGTGGCAGGCTGTAAAGTACTGTACCTAAAACCCCCATAATATAAACATGTACTGAAGCTGAAGCAAGCACCAAATTTGAAGCTTCTTTCCATCCTGTTCCTCCCACCCA